GAAAGGCAGAATGTGAATTTCCCGAGGTACCCGCAAGTCTGCAGCGCCCAGCTGGCCGGCCTCTTTGAACGCTTCAGAAGGGGCAATATGTCTTCGGATTTATTCCTAATGTCGGTATTAGAAGAGCCCCGCACCCAGTGGTTTTTGCGGTTTTTCCCGGCTGCCATACACCCGCAAATGGCCATCGTTTCGTTGGCTGGAGAGGGGAGATAATGAAGGGCAAAGGGCTCCTCTTAGTGTATGATCGAATGAGGACTTGTGAGGGGTGGTACTGTTTGAGGGGAGCTGTATGGGAGGCGTAGGAGGGGATATACTACTGGTAAAGGTATCCTTGACCTGTAGGCAGAGAGGACCTGCATGTCATACATAGTCATAGACTCAGAGAGGACAATAAAATGAATTAATAATAATAATAACCATCTAGCACACTGAGCTCCACTCTGACTCGGGCCACGCCTAGTACACATCTCCTATCCTCATTTATTACTTGAGAGATCTCTGACATGTTGCCCGCGATGGATAGCCATTCACCTCAGTATTTACCCGTCGAATTCAGCCATGACATTTGTTGAGGCAGGGCAGCGCTTCCCAGGACGCCTAGAACAGTTTCCATTAGCGGGTGAGGGGTCTAGAGTCGTAAGGCGGCAGGGACTTGAAAATATCACTCGAATTTGCTGGGGTCTAGACCGGAGCCAGGCTATACCATCTGTCAAAATCGCCATGCACTCCGGAGTTTCCTGCAGTGACAGTCAGCTACGCCAAAATTCTTGATGAAAATGGCGCGGCACGTGTGCATGCTGCCAGCTGACCGCTCCTGCCTGACCTAATCGTAGAGTCAGCGTCCTACCTCGAGCAGATCTGTGGGACTCGAAGCAAATTGGATGGGCCATGACTTGGTAATATACATACTCCCATGGTGATGCCGATTACCAAAGTATTACTCAATCGTGTGTAGAAGGACAAATAGCCCAGAAAGGATTCAGACTGTTAAGGCTGCAAGGCTAAGTTAATTTGAAGTCATGAATTGCATCACATTTTGCCCTGTGGAGCCAGCCCGATCTGTCGATACATAATACACTTTGTCTATTGCTTGCTGACTCATCACCGCCAGTTAAATTGGCGAGGCACATGCACTTGGATCTGCATCTATCGCACTCTGCCGCTGAATGGATGAGACCTCTACTTTAGGTTGCATCGTCTCCATACGATATTTATCCTTATGCAATTAAATCTCCACGGCTTGCAAGTTTTACGTGTCGAATATTAAGGAATAACACGTAGCATTTCCCCGCGGTCCACCTCTGAAAATTCGAGTTACCTGATATTACAACCCAGAAGATTATTCCATGAATTTTATACACGAGGTGATAGTAGGGGTCCGATATCAGATAAGCGTGAAGTGGCCGTGGCTGACGGGTTTTCTAGGGGCCTTCGCTGTGCTGTAGTGGTCGATGAGTTGTTGGTATCGGTTCCTTCAAGTATCATATATAGCCATACATGGTTGAATAAAACAACCCTGAACGAGAGATACCGACGGCTTAGAATACAATCGCTCCGGCAGCATTATCCACGTTGTTCGTGGAAAATCAATACGCGAAGGAGTCACGGTGCATGGCAAAAGATGATATGCCACAACTTACTGGGGGCACAGGGAGAGAGGTATGCTTATTGTACTACTTGAGTCATAGACTATCTAGCACATTGGGCTCCTTTCTGACCCAGGCCACACCTTGTGCAGTGTTTCTTGCCTCTCTAGTTACCTGAAAGATCATTGATATATTCCCCTTGATGAATAGCCATTCAGCTCAATGTTTACCCGTGGAATTCGGCCACCTTTTCCGCGGAACCTTCTACCCAAAAAAAATAAAAGTGGTAGCAATGGAGACTGCGTGCGCGGGAAAAAGTCTCAAAAAACCTGCAGCCCCAGCCAGGCGAGGCCTAGACACCGAGACCACATGAGGTGCGCATACTCATCTACATCTCCCTCCATTGTAACATCCGAGGCCGACTTGATCCAATCCATCATCTCTGTATCGGGTGCAGGGTACGCTCCGGAAACTCTTCGAATGGCTTTACCTCCGTGATCAAGGGTTGGTGATGAGTAGGGCTCCGACCCTACCATCTGATCTAATGGTGATAGGGGGTTTGTGCTTAGGGATGAAGATGATACAGACCGCGTAAGCGATTGGGAATCCTCATCGAAGTGAGGATTTTGTTACTCAATCTCGGCTCTGCAGACTCTACAATGAGAGCTGGAGGTTAATAGGAGATAGCACTGACAGGTGTTGTGAATAGCCCCCCCCTGGGGGCACAGGAAAGCAAGGAGTATAGAAGGATCGTTCCTCTCTTGTCATTAGACCAGCATTAGTCAGAAGTCATTAATTGCGTCTGAGAACCCTTAAGAAACGGGCAAGCACGACTTGAGCCTGAGCAAAGATATTCGCAGTTTGTGCCCATTGAAGCCGTTTTCCCAATATGAACTTTGGTTTGCGCAGGTCTACCGCGTGGCTCTCAAGGACAGACACTGCCAGGCCACAGCGCATCCCACCACTGTTTTTCCGGCAAATTTGACATCGTTGAATAGGAGATTAGTCATTTCCGTGTCAACATACACCTCAAAATGATAGAATCCGCTTCGGAACCGACGACAGAGAATTGAGCTGATCTCAGGGCACCAATGCCGTTGCTGGCCCGGCGTCTGCACTGAAGGTGGAGAGAGCAACGAGCGTTACCCCATACTCTAGAATCATCCGGGATCCCATCGTGGCTAAGTGACCTTCAAACTTCGCACCATGACGAGCTCAAGAGTGGGACTGGTTGTGGCGAGCAGCAAAAGGGTGTAGAGAGATTGGACATCAACGAGGCATTATGGATGGGACCTGGTTGGTACGTCAGTGCCATGATTTCTAGACAATGTCAAAACCTTAATTTACAATGTAGAACTAGTAAGAGGGGAAGAATGCATGCATGGCCTTGGACACTTACGCCAGTCGTGCAAAGCCAGACCGTTTCTGCTCCGAATGACCGCCACACGGATCAGGAATTGTAGGATTAATTGCGTTTGTTCCATCAACTGTTGGATGGGTAGATGTTGACGATTAGGCATGTGCGTTTGTCGTGGGCGCCATCGCGTCAAGACCCTTGTACTTCTTGCTATCGAGGCGAGGCCGGCCAGATTCCGATCAAGTTTCGCTCGTGTGTTCGCACAAGAAGGAAATTCATGGGCAAGTTGGGCAGCATGGCTATCCCTGTGATGCACACACGAGTAGACGGATTTTCATGGTAGCCCTTAGGAAGCACCAGTCCGGGTGGCCGGAAGCGTCAAGCACAAGAAACAAGTGATCATTTTGATTGGCCATTCAAGCGGAGAAACTCTAATCCTTGACAGGGGAAATGGCAGGGCCTAGGTTAGAGCAGCCCGTATCGTCTACAAGGTCATCGCTGCCTGCCGTTCTTTCGCTAGCCAAGCCCTCCTATCCATTCCAAGACAGATACTAGATATTTCAATGCCGGGTACACTCTACTCCCTGGCATCTTCAACTTCCGGTCTCGCAGCAAATAATTGATCGTCACTGCCATCTAGAAGGCGGGAATCTGCCAACCCCTACTTCTCTACTTTTTCGACCTTTGGAATCAATACATTAGCAATCGTGCCTAGTTTAAAGTGTCGTTGTGCCAGATATCTGGTACGGTTTTGTACAATTATTTTCGGCTCCAGCTACGTTTAGCCTGTCAGCCAATTTTACCTTCTGCTGTAATTACTCGCTTGATTTCCGGGTATGGGGCATCGCGAACATGAAATCACAAACCAAAAAATCATGAATCTTCAAGCACCAATCTTGGGCTTTGATGGGCATGAACACATAAGGAATCTCAAAGTTCAAGCTAGTTGAAAAAGCGTACAGCTATAGCTGTTCTTCTGCCTAATAATTAGTTTATCTGTTCTGTAATGCCGATCAAAGCTCTGAGCCTTATCAGGCGTCTATTTGACGAAAAGTTTTGCGACATATTTCCTCCCCTCAATTTACCCTCTCTTTTTGACCCGCACTCATTATGACTTTGTTGTGGCCATATAGATGTAGAAATTGCGCAGAGACCCAAATCAGTGTCTTTACGCATAAACTCTGCCACACGCAATCTATCTTTAATTTGTCGACGTGCGACCTTTTTCCAAGTTCTTGTTCAATAACAAGTTGCCATAATTGCAACCATCATCAAATTTGACCAACATTGGTACAACTTTGAGAGTATTTGTAAATATATGTAAAATGTAGACGTTGAGTACCTCCTCATTTAAACTCATTTCTGTTATCATACGTAGCAGTTTCAGTACTGACGTAATGTTGGGGGTGCCGACTAATATTAAAAAACAAAAATAAAGTAAGCTGAACGTTCCAACAACCCGAATTACATGCATCATATCCATGTACTTTTTTGTAACACCCCAGTATATAATAGTAAATCTAGCTCAGTTGCAAATGTTAGTGAGCTGTTGAAATTCCGATGCGTAAAATTTTGCATGCCTATTTCTCTATGCCAATAATAGCGAATTGAATGTCTATTCCTTAAACCAGATACCAAATCAGTCATTCCCAAAACGCCATTGATATTTTACCCACCGCCCACGTGAACCCGTACCTTTTGATAAATTAGAAAGACAAAATTGATAAACGCAATTGTTAGAATCCGCTAGAGTAACGCCAGAAAGCAATTAAATTGAAGGAGATCGTTGATTTTGACGCTTGCTACGAAGGTTCGTAGACTTATCATCGTGATTAGAGTAGTCTACTTGGTGACTAGATATGAACTTAAAGAAATTTAATTTAACGGTGATTGGCTTCAATGCCTCCATGACTTGCTTTTGAGGGCGGGCATTCATTTTGATTAGCCGTGTAAAAGACCGCTTTGGGAGATAATGGTTGTGCAGCGAACTGTGCTCTTCTGAATTTCCTCGTACTATTCTCGTTTCATTCATTACGGAGCGGGTACCGTGAGGTTCTTTAATTGCTATGTGTCTGAGTTAGAAGAGTCGGAGCGTAAAAAGGAGGATTCTTTGCATGAAGATTACGAAGATCTCCACAAGTGTAGCAACCGTATGGCGTGCAGTTTGGAGAATTATTCCACACTCTTCGAGCGTAGTTAAAGTCTGAACATTGATAAACAGGTGTGTGATAAGCTGCGATCTGTGTTGCATGAAAACTTGGATGATATTGAGCCTGATATCCTCGCGCGTAGGTGTGGTTGGTAACGGATTCGTAGTTAGCCCAGTCGTTATATCGAGGCACTACTCCAGTTGCACTCATGTTCATGTATACTGGTGTATTCAGTAGAGAATCAGGAGCCGATGGCGGGGTCAAATATGGAGGTGTTGAGTATGAGTGAGATGAATGCGCCCATTCACCCTTACTGTAGTTAATATTGAATGCCATCGAGTTGTCCATAGGGTTAACAGTCTGAGCCCGTGGTTTATAAGCTTGGACATATGGGTTTACACGTTGCGAGTTATTTCCAAGAGGTTGTTGTCCAGTGGAAAGATCCAGAGGTGACTTGGGCTTTGAAATCCTGGCTTTACGCCAATGTTCCCAATTTGCCATCCAAGCGTTAAAATCCATGTTCTCATCGAGGTTCACATATATATTATAATCCATCGCAAATAGCCACTCGGCTTCCAGCTTGTTGAGATCAGCGACAGGGAAGCCACTAACTTCGGACCAGGAGCGGTTCTGGAATGTATTGTCGTCTAAAAACTTGCTTCCCAGTAAAAGGCCAATTGTGAGCATTCGTAAAGCGCTGTCTTCGCTGACAAATTGACTACCGGGTGTGCTGAACATGTTCACTCTTCTAGCGAGGTAGTGCATTCCTAGAAGTATTGTTGTGCTTGGAAGGCGTGTGGATGAAAGTAGATCTGAAACGAATTCAGGGAGGGAGGATGGGACTTTAGGCGATGGCAGAATGAGACGCTGTGTCATTTCTGCCACATATTCTGTCATCAAGTCGATATCATAGTCAAGCACCGCACAAACACCACCGGAAGCTATCATTTCTGCTCACTTGAATATCGTGCGAAATTCCGATTGAGATGAGATGCTAAGCAAGATTCGTTGAAGACGTAAGTGAGAGCTTAGTTGGACTCACGAATACTTTCTTCAACACTGGGTATTGACGATAGGTTCGGTGTGGGTGTGTTGTGAACGGCGACAAGATAGATTTGACTGACAATCGATGAAGTTCTAGATTATGCCATAGGTCAGAACCGCAAATTTCGAGACCTAGATTTGTGGAGAGTTTTCCCGTCAGAGAAATGGTTCCCTGAGAGTGGGATGAAAAAATTGGTGTGCACTTTGTACTGTTGTTGGTATGATCTTGCTTTTCGAAATTGTTTAACGGTTGGATTTTCTGAGTACTGATGCCTCTTGAATTTTTAGACCCTGTCTATCCGAATTGTTAGATCAAGCTTGAAAAGAGAGATTGGAAAAATCTACATTCTCCTTCTCGATTATGTTATATCAAATACGAGAATTCTCTAGTTCATATATCGTAAAAAGTAAAAACGCAGGTCATTAGATCAGAGTGTCTTTATAGACCCGGTAATAAATTATAGATATTTATAGTCACCTTTGGTTGTGATCCGGAAGAGTTTGACGAAGTGTAGGATTGTTAGACCAAGCTTTCGTCGAGATGGAGTGCGAGAACCGGTATTTTCGAGAGCTGGCCGGTGAATGTGGGTAGACAGAGACGGAAGGTCTGGGGTGGATTCTGAGGAAGACGACTTGTCGAGATATGGCGAGATTAGGGGAGAGATACGCCAAGCTCACGAGCTGGTGGATGGGGGGAAGAGGAGGAGGATGAGGAGATGTGAAATGTCGGTGGGTCGGAGAGAGTTGGGAAGCGCACGATTATGAGTTGGCCGTGAAATAAGACCACGCTCGCTAGCTAAAGTGATGGATGGTGAGCGGCGCAAAGGCCACAAGAGAATGGAACAGGGGAGGCCTGAACTTTGACAAAGATTGTTGTATGAAAGGTCGCAGAATAAATATTTGCTGGACCCACAACATTGTCTCAAAATATCCATCACCGCTCCGCACCCAGGCAACTAGATAAAATTCTAAGGTAGGCCAACGTCAATTTTTAGGTGCATGGAGAAGCCGTCCATTTACTGGAGACGAGAAACTAGTCGCCTCATTACAGCAGTGTGCAGGCTCAAGGCAACAGCACCTATGATCAATATGGGAAAGCCTTGTCACCTGATGGGCATTAGAGTTAAATTGTAGAGGATTAGGAAAAAAAGCAAGCTAATACCGCATGAGGCCTAGCGAATTATGAATTTAGCGGATCAATTAGGCCGGCTACATTAGTTTACCTACACGCTGGCGTAGCTAATTTTTATTCGTAGAGCCGGTTCTCCACAGACGCAGGATGATTCGTGGTGAGGATGTGAATGGCGCTTCAACGACAGTCGGCAGTTATATTCCGTGACAAGAGCCCAGACTTAACGATGCGTGGCGACCGAAGGATGCTTGCGGCCAGCTGATGCATCGGCAGAGCTAGCCGATTATCGCGCGTGGTGGGAGGTTCATTGCTCGACAATTGAGGTTTATAGGGATGCGCAGAGGTCGACGCTGCTACAACGGTGATGGTCCTCGTGCACCTGGAAGCCTCGCTCCGGATTCAGAGTAAAGTGTTTGATCCGACCACGAGCTTGTGAAGTGAAGCAAAACATAATAACGCATCACATGCGGTTCTCTGCAGCGGAGACGCTCGATCGACAGCGTCAAGCTGTAGGTCTGACTCTCAGCCTCTAAGCAGAAGGGAGCTACACGTCCTAATGTAGTCATATACTCATTATGAGAACAAACATACACACACTGTAGTCCTGCACTACCCGCTCTCAGCACACCGGCTGCGTGGTAGTTGTGATAGAAACTTTGGTGAAGCAGTCCTTCGGCCGGCACCACACGAAGCGGTGGTGGACCATCAGCAATACGAGTTGATGCGTTAGAGCTAGAGCGATGGCCGGAGAGACTCGGATGCTAGGTTCAAGGCCGTGGAATGGCCGGCCTTGAGGGCTAAACGACGTCGTGATGGCAGCTGAGGAAGCGTGTGGTTGAGAGATGAGGGTAGACAAGCCGATGGGTTCCCAGCCTGTAGGCAGAGCTAAGCCGAGCCAAAGAAATGAGGCCGAGCAAGTGTAAATGGGCAAGCGGAGGGGCAGACAGGCGAGGTGGCCGGTTGTGTGCTGAGAGGAGAGCCGTGCGCAAGTTGGTGCTCAGCATCTAGCCGACCTCTGCTTGAGCTGATGATTCACAGAGGCAGACGGGATTGCTGATGTTAAGAGACCGACTAGCTATGCGGGGTCAGATTGGCTAGACTCGGTCTCGTCCAACCAGCAGCCCGGCCTGCCTCTGTGAATCATCAGCTCTCTCCAACGCCGGGAGCCTATCACACACCTCGCCCACCCCTCACGCCGCACAAATCCCCCGGCTGCAGTGCTCACGCCCACCGGCCTCTGAAGTTTGGTCGGAATAAGAATGTCCCGGGCTGCGAGCGTGGAAGAATCCCTTAGCCAGGATTCCGAGCTGGTGACTTGACATTTATTTCCATTCTCCACCTGCCCCGCATTCCACCCTCCCTCTGCGCATGGAGACCAGACAAGATCGAGGTCCCTTCGTTTCAAGGTCGTGACGATGTCTGCGACCATCTCGCACCTAAGCCATGCACAAGGTGTGTCGGTAGTAGGCCCATCAATTGCTCCTGCATCATCGGCGAAGTCTTGTCGTCATCACTGCCATCACCACATACTTTTCTTCCGCCTTTCACCCCCTTAACCTCCTAACTGCGTAAGTCTTTACAGCCTTCGATCCTCCCATAAGCTTGCGTCCATTGAGTTGCTCGGAATATTCTTTGTTCCTTGCCCTCGCCTTGCAAAGCGCCATCTCGATGCCTACACATTTAGCCTGATTTGTGACGAGAAGGAATACGGTGGTCGTCAGGTCGACCTGTTTCTTGTTGCTACCGCCAAAATTGTAAAGTAACTAACCAGCTGCAAATGCCTATCTATGACGACTTGTTCTTGCCAAGGCGATCCGGGGTCCCATCTGCACTAAACTCCACTACGGCAGAAGGTTAATAGATTTCCTTTATTTCTTCTACGCTGGCTACTTGGGTAGTGCGATAATAACCTTTGCAGCACCCGCGTAAATTCCGGTCACTGATCCATGTATGACTTCAAGGCTGCGTGAACCTTCGGGATCCCAATTCATCTACACGGGTTCTTTAATCTTCGTCTCCACAATAACGTCCCCACAGTATCCTTCTTCACCTGCCCAACTACGACTGGCTAAGCAAACGCAGGGACAGACGCTCCGTTTTTTGTTCGCCCAGAATGTAACAAGAAACAAATGTCGTCAGAAATGTTCAAGTGTCGCAAGAACTTGCCACGGGAAGCCTATACAATGTTGCGGATCACAAATTCAGGCCGAGCTAGCCTTTGAGTCTTCAATCTTCAGATAAGAAAACTCCAATTTTCCGATATTTAATCTTTGAAAACCCTCCATTCGCTGTAACTGTAGTTTAAATTCAATAGGTACATCAACCCACCCTGAACCATGAAACTATTATCTCTCATCATCGCTATCAATTGTTGATAAACTACATCCCACAACCATGGTAACTCTGGCTAGGAATATTGTTAATTCTTTGATACCCTGTTCCTCTCTATTGTTACAACCGGATTCCCTGCGTTGGTGCATTTTGCCTGCAATTTCTCAAGTAATCGGAAGATGCTGCACAGTAATTAGATTACTTTGAGTACCACGCCTTTTATCAAGGTCATTCACCACTGTGGTAAAGAAGCAAGTGCAGGTGTCAGCGGTAATAGGAAAAAGACGGAAAATGTGCCGTAATATTATCTATCCTTCTGCGTTATTTTCGTATTGGGTGCGACGTTGGCAGACAGCATGGCTAGCATCGAGATGGTCTTTTATCGGCAGTAAGTATCTGACACTGACCATGTTACCGATCCATCTATCCATGTAGCTTCTCTAGACCTTTCGACTAGTATTTACCCTTTGCTCAATGACAGTCACGAACTTAATTTCCCCATCAACTGAAATCCACATCAGACATAGCAAAGTTATTACTTCTAGCTTTTTATCCTTTAAATCCCGCAAGAATAACCGCGACAGATCAGGTCGTGTACAGATAGCGAGAGTGAAAGGCAAATAATCGGATGGCCAGAGATAATAAAATGAAAACTATTCTGTTTCCTTGACTGCCTGATGACCATTATGTAGAGGATTCGCAGCTACAACGATTGAATTAAAGACGGAATTTTTAAAGCGTAGGCAAGTAAGCACTATATGGAGCTCACAATAATTTGCCACCATTTTCGTAGGCGCATTACCGACACAATGTGCACTCAGAGTCGAAGATGACCGACCTACCTGCGTAACCTGAAGTGCAGGATTCTATCAGTATGCCTTCAACTATCTGGATGAAGTTGCCCACGTCGCCTGCGATAAAGCGCTAGGTGAAAAAGGATACGTTTCACTGCCATCAAAATCCTTGTGGTCGCAACTGATCATGGGACTGAAAAGAATTAGTCAACGCGCTTCCGTAGACCCGGATACTGACGCCAAAGATGGTTGCTGACTGGCCGGAATGTATTCCGTAAGCCGTCGTCACACCGCTCGAGCGATATTAATTTAAGGTCACCACTCTCCCGCACCTGGGAAGGCCCATCTGAAAAAATTTGACGGGTCCAGCGGCTCAACTAGGCTCGGTAGCTTTGATGTGAAAAAGCAGGGCTTGTTGTGGAAATTCTCTACTCCGACAGTGTCTTGGTCAACCCGGTATTTGCGAATGCCTGTCCGGTTGGCAGATCCACAGCAGAGTTGGCGAGGCCATGTGACTCAGTTTCTGCCACAGGAGATGTCCCAAATTGGCCACGAGCACGAACCTTTCAATTCTTTGATTCGTCAGTACCTGACCGCGCTGCTTTAGCAAATGATGGTCGCGAATCGAGACAAGTGTACGCCGATAT